GCTGGGGAGAGGGAGGTCTGGGCTTCTCTGCTTAGGCTGCTGCCCCCGCGACCCGGTCCCGGATAAAGCGGAAGAAGATGGATGGATTATGTCTCTTGGCTGGTCTGGGAATACCTCAGTGTTCCCCCGGATAAGCTAGAGAAAGTGGCTTCAAATAAGTGGAAGAAAGTGGATTGATGGATGGTAATGGTTGATACTGTGGAGTCTACATGTGTACAGCGTCAAGTGATAGAAAGTGTCACGGTTGACTTGGTAATGTAAGATTATGCCGTGTTGTTGGCATGCTAAAGTAAAATAAATAAGATGATAATGGATAATATTATGGAGCAAACATGCTAACAAAACATATTTAACTTGGTCACTTTTTTACATTATATATATATAGGTATGCATATACAGCACACTAATGCATGCTAATGTTAACATTCAGCTTTAATCTGGTTGGAGACTGAATTCAAGAGTGCTATAAAAATCTGAACATCACAGCCTCACATCAAACCACCAATTCAGCAACATGGTTATTTTCAGTTTTACATGTGAGGACTCACATTACCTGTACTCCACAGTTTGTGCGACTGTCAACACCATCACCTCTGTTCACTTCTTTGCTGTGAAGTGTTGATAAGTCAACCTGAGAGAATACCGCACCTCTGTCTACAACAGGCTTGTTTTTATTAATGAACCAGTGTAAGCCCGCTACCAGGTCACAGTTTGGCATGCAAGAAGTGTTCTCCAGGGTGCTGCTTTGTGTGTTTAAATCGCAAAGTTTCTTTTATCACCGTAGTCAGTGGCACGAAACACTCTCGTCCCATGTATAATAGAAGCTGGACACTTTGTAAGAAATTCACCTTTAAACCAAAGCAGAGAAAAAACACTTCAGACATAGCTGAACTGTGAAGTCCACAGGCAGTGATCACATCATGTGTGACTAGATATGAATATTTATTCAATGCCGGAGGTAAACGGGGTGAAACCGCAGCTACACTGCAGCCTAACCTTGCATCAATAGAGCACAGGCCCATTCTATGCCTGAGAATTGTTGGAAAATTGAATGCTGAATAGAAATGTTCCTTATTGCACACAATCCGATGAAAGAGAACGTCTGCCTCCAATCCAAATTCACAAAACCCTTTGATGTTTGTTGAAATAATTTTATGCCTACTTCTCATTTTTTATTTTATGCTTGCTCTTGAATTTTGATTGTGACTACAGGCACTTTTCAATTGATATGCATTATGAACTTTGCAATAATTGAAAGGGCCTTGTTGAGGAACAAACATGTCATTTATCCCCGAAATTAATTTCACAATTTATTGTGTAACCACACACCTTTGGTGACTTTGGAAATGGTTGGTGACAGATGCTTATTGTCTTCAAAAATTGTACTTTCAAATTCATGAGAGAATTTTTTTTGCTGGGTTGAAATTAAATATCTTGTTGGTGTTTTTCTGGGTTATTTTCCCCAGTGTTCTTGTCTGCTCTTGTATGTACATTCACGCCTCAGCAGCCTTGGTATAGTATGTGTTTGTGCACAAGTTATGTTTCAGTGTGTGTATATTTATGGATGCACCATTGCCTGCTCAAATTTACCATTTGGTGGCTTGTTCCTTTGAGGGATGGCAAAACTTGAGAGGCTGCGTAAAATACTGTGTGGTAATTGGAATTGCTTTATCTTCAGTCTCATCAATTAATGTGCAATTTTCCATTTAATCACTAACACGCTCGCTTCATTTGCAATTAAAATGAGGACTGATAACAGAGAAGATGCCTTTCAGCTGATACCAGTTGGAATGAGAACAGAAACCAGAAGACACAATCGGTACACAACACGACTCACTGAGACATGCGCATGGCACACAAACAAGTGTGAACGCACGCAGAGCAAACAGTCCTGCTTATATATGGGTGCACTGAATACATACACACTGAAACAGAATGACACAATAAAACATGCAGATTTACAACTGAAACCCCAAATTAGAAACCAAATCACCATTTGAAATCAAAATGCTGGCAGCGGTGGTGGATAGGGGTGCCACTCAAACAGAGAAAGATCTACTCTGGTTGTCTTTTCTCTGACTTTTCCATTCAGAGACATTGTCAGGGTCTGAGTCTCAGTGGGTGATGAGCTGACTGGCAGTGAAATGTCTGTCATGTAATATCCCAGAGAAGAGAGGAGAAAAAAGTTGCTCTTGCTGCTTCCCGTCTTTCTCCTGAAGATACTGAAGTCTACCCAAAAGGAGCCTTTTTGTTCACTCAGCTCAACACACAGGAGGCCATAGGAGGAGATTTTATAGTGCTGGAAGGAGGAATGCCGCATAATACTCAAACATAATCTCATTAATGTTTCTGTAATAGTCCAACTTGTTGTGTCTCATATACTTATTCATTACATATTTTTGCAGTCTTTCTTTTGTAGTCTGTCCAAGATCCTCGTTTATACTATCATGTAAACAGTGTTATATGATTATTATAGTCTGTAACTTCACTGTCAAATACTGCAAATCCTTGGCTTTAACAGTCTGGTTGATTGGCTCCACTTTCCTGAGGCGGTATCTCCTGAGCGGATGTTGCAAGCGGTACAGAGATTTTGGTCAGATGTTCCAGTTTCGTTTCACTAGCTGGTAATCAAGTGCTTTTCCTCCAGGTCAATACCATTCAGTCCAAGTGCACCAGTCCATTGTAACTGCTGCCTGTCTTTCACAACCACGCAAGGCTTTATGTGGCATTAGAGTGCATTTTTCCAATAACTCTCCCAGCTCAGGGTACCGAGCAAACGGATTGTTTAAAGTGACAGATTGAAACCCCACATGTGTCTGATCTCACATGATTTGTGAGATCAGAGTTTAAAGCCTGCCTTTTTTTAAAAGTTGAAATCTCACAAAAGGTTTAATAAAGTTTAACCACACCTTTATCTAAAACACATTTTCTGCCATCAGCTCACATTAACAAGGCGTTTTCATGCAGTATACACATAGGTTAAATGTAACTTAAGGAAAGAGATCCAGCTGTGCTGTGTGTGTGTATGTGTGTCTCTGCAAACCAATTAGCTTCCTTCAGTGGGGGTGGGGGCAATGGTTACAACAGAGTTCCACAGGGTACGGCCCTCAGCCCTGTGGGGTCTTGGCCAATAGCAATTAGCCTACCAACAAGAGCCCTAATTAGCCCTCTTGATTGGCTTAGTTACAGCACAGCAACAACATCAGCAGCCAAAACATTGAGACGACCAAGGTGACTCCGCCACAATGCATGTAAAGCCATCTGTAATTAGCAAACAAGCATAGCTCTCTGTAAATGGTAAACAAGTAGTGGGCTTTATTTGTGGTATCCTTATGAACCTGCTGCTATGTAAAGTATTTCATTAAAAGGGCTGCACAAACTTAATCAGGTTGTTTTCTTTTTACTTGTCAGCATTGTTAGATCACTCAGTGTTAATACTGACTGTTCTGTGAGCTCTATGCAACACATGCAGAAGTAGACTGAAGAGAAATATAGCAAAGAAATAAATTAGTAAGTGCAGAAGGGATAGAAGTGTGAGATGATGTGTTTGAGAAACCCATCTCGTATGATTTAATCATAGCAGCACCTGGTGGTGGCTGCTGTCATAGAATTTGCAATCACTGCTTGCTTGCACTGGATTTATGATTTTTTCTTTCTTGTCTGTTTCTTTACCAGTCTCAATGTGAAACTATCCCATGATGCAACATGTGTCCCCAGCATCTGCAGTGACAATGATGGCCACCCAGAGCGCTCCTCCGCCATCGTACCAGGAGAGCCAACAGGTTAGAGCGCCAACTTAAAGACTTGTCATATGGTACAAACCTCTGTACAGTAACCCCTGTGTCTAATGTGAACACACAGCTTGGCTTATGGAGGTTTTCTGTGTTATCTGAGCTCTTACTTAACTGGGGATGTGCCAACAAGCATAAATCTGGATCTGATGAGAAGGATTGAAGGTTAAAGATTTGAAAAATAATCATTTTGAATTTTTACCTAAACTGAAACTTTTACTGTTTTATAGTTGAATTTCTAAGATGATTTGTAGTACACATTTAAGAGCAGCCTCTCATGATTCATACATAGTGTCATTTTAAACAACTTCTGGAGTTAAAGAAAAAAAAATGAAAGTAACGTTTAACATTTGGGGTTTTGTTGACAGTGGATTCATGCCCTTGTTTTTTATCTAGCTATCTTTTCTCAGTATGCATTAGGCCGTTCTTTTCAACTGGAGCTGAGGTTTTGAATTTGTTTTGATTTTTGTGAGAACACAGAAATTAACTAAAGGAAAATGACATAAAATGTTTTGTTAAATTACAAATCATTTCATATTCTATGACATATAATCTAAACCATATACTCAATGATATCATGACCTGCCTTTGGTCCTGTCTACTCACCCGTTAGCCCAGTCAGTTCCAACCTACTAAGGCCACACTTGCTATCTGGCCTCCAGGTGTTAGCACAAAGCCTAAAACATATAAAGTGGAACTAGTGTGGAGCTGGCTTATTGTGTTGTGGGCTGATAGTTTGGCAGACTCACAAGCCATGCATCAGCAGATGTACTGATGTTCTTTACAAGGATATGTTCTAAACAGACTTGTATAGAATTTTGGATGGGTGATCCTTTGTGAGAACTACAGTACAGCACCATTCATAGATGTAAAACAAATGTGTAGCTATTTGTAGTGAACCAGCCTCTAAATCGACTATTCAAAATCATATCTGTTTGTAACTTTTCCTTAAGTTTATGAGAATTATTAAGGGTGAACATGAAAAAAGATGCTGTCATAAAAGATGATAAAGCACATAAAGAGAATCCCTGGCTGAACATTAGCTTTAAATAATAACTTACAGATACAGTGATACCTGTGTAAAAATACACAGCTTATACCGAGTGATCACCAGAAACACAGTGCGCCTAAGAATAATACATAATAGTACAGAAATATTAGAATAGAGAATATTTTGTTCAGCGCCACAGACATCCTGTGATGGTGGAATAGAGTAGGTTCATCTGACCATCTAACCCTGCTTGTTGTTCATAGCACCTCTGTCTGCTTTCGCCAGAGGATTAGTGCCAGGGGAGAGCTCCCGAGCTGCAGCCTGTGTGCTCGGTAAATGCAAATTAGAGCTAGTTAAGTGTGAAGAACCTAATTTATTTCCCATTTGGTGCTGGGATTAAGACTTGAAGCTTCCTTCCACCCCACCCTGCTGAAAAAAAACAGAAGGGGGATGGGTTTTTTTTTTTACATACATATCCTCATAAAAAACGAATGAGAGAGAAAAGTGGAATGAAGGAAGAAGATAATCAAGGAGACGAGTTGTCATGTTTGTAAAACATGTTAGCCCTCTTTCTCACCCACAATACAAATACCTTCAAAAGAAGCAAAAACATCCTATGAGACTTGTGCATCTTATAAGACATATATAAAATCTAAACATTTACTGACAGAGGCAGTCGAAATCTTTTGTACTCCTTTTCTACATTCTGATTAATTCACTGTTCAGTTTCTTGTTCCAAACTGGATATTTATCATTTAACAGCAGTCTATAAGATCTGTAAGTGTCTTGTTCAATTACTCAACCTGTCCTAACTCACTCATTCACTCACAATTCATTTGCTTAACAGCATCATCAGGCCACTGACCCGTCGAGCCATAATGATTCATGCCAGCGACATCCTCATTTGGTGTCTGACAGAATTCAGTGCATGTTGTGGCCTTACTTGCTTCGAAAAGCAATTACAAGAATTACTTTTAAAAAATGACTTTTATATATATCTGAGGGGCTGTCATCACCCTGCCAGGTGGGTGGGTTGGCAGTCAACATGGACACCCAAGTTTGTGAGTGTGATAACCTAGGATTTCCAAATTGATACCAAAGGACCACATACTAAAAACAAACAAGTTCAAATCTCAGTGACCTAAACCTCAAGGTTAGAGGTCAGAGGTCAAGTTTTCTGAAAATCGTCGTCTCAAGTTATCGCAATGAAACTGCGATAACTTGAGATGATGTAGGATTTTGAAAGTACTTAATTAGTGGTAATTACTAAATATGAGCATGTCAGCATGCTTTAAATAAATGATAATCATTCAATCTTAGCACTGCCGTGTTAGGAGTATTACTGTGAGCGTATTAGCATCCTAAATCACCGTATATATGCAACATCACAGATGATACTAAAACAAAAGCAATATTCAAAGTCATAATTGCCAATGTAAGAAAAAAATAACATAAATTTATCATTAAGTCATTTTGTGATTATTTTAAATATCACCAGATGACGGGCACGACTCAACAGAACACCAAGACCCCACAGGTCCACATCCCAGCAGCCTCTGCAGCACCAAATAGCTCTGTCAGTGTGACCCTTGACCCCCAGGCCCAGCTTGAATCTGACAAGAGGGCTGTTTACAGGTTGGTTACATTTTTCATGAGACATCTCTTACTGTAAGGGCTATAAGCCAGTCTGAAAACATAAATATGTAAAGATGACCAGGGACAAGAAGCAGAGAAAGACCATGTTGTTTATCAGTGGTTTTTTGTTTTGATTATTTAGCCATGTGTTTGTGTCATGAAGTTTGGCAGTGTGCACCCTTCTGCTTCTGAATTACATTTCAATTGTTCCCCTTTGAAGAAATGTTTCATTTCATGCTGACTTTAAGAGACTGTAGTAAATTAACTTGATGTGTTACTCACCGATGAAGGACACAGGCACTAGTGTTGTTTTTAATGCATTCTCTCAAACTAGCCATGACATAAAAGCTTTTGGAATTATACTTGAAGGGGCTTTCTTCAGATTTCATTTATAAACCAAAGAGCACCTTTGTTCCTTGACTCCTCATAGGCAGTTCAGTTTTCTCTGCTTTGAACTGTGTAAATGTTACAAGACTTTAAAAAAAGTATCTCATAGTGCAGCAGTTGTCTGTATAATGAGGTGGGCTCTAAATTGTTATAATTATCACTCATTATAAACTCACTGTTTTGAATTACGAACAGCCAACAAAAATAAAGCAGACCAGAAGAGGACAAAAAAGAAATTTAAATCATTTGTTTATTTGCTGTTGAAAGTGATATTTGAAATTTTATTGGCCATTTGTTTTGTGTGAGGTTTTAGCTTGACTCCAGATCAACATTGTAAAACATAATTTATTTCTCTTTCACGCCAACAGCCATTTTCAAAGGTAAGCATCACTCTTCAGATGAAAGAGAGCTTCTTTTGGAATCACACTTGTGAATAGATGTTCATTTAAGTAGAAACACATGAACCATACTAATAGAGATAATAGAGATGTTTGTGAAAATGGATTTCATCATGTGTCACAATTACTCGTAATACTTATTTTACAGGCTTTTACTTTATGTTCTGGCCAATGTCTTTGTAAAGTGCAGCAATATTACAAAAGAAAAAGGTTATACTGTTTATAGGAAATAAAGAAAGTAGTTACCACAGTTACGCTGCTGCTTAGGTTATGTTTTTATATTAGCTGCCCGGCACTGGTAGATATATTAAGTTGACATTTATGCTGTGTAGTGAATTGCTTTTTTACATTTTCAGATTGTGTGGAAGTTCTGTATTCAAATTATTCAAAATTCAAATTAATCATATGATCAGCAAATAAATCTCAAGTCACACTTTCAGCACCATTTGACTAATCTTTTATTTAAAAGTCTACATCTCTCTCTGTCTCTCTCTCTCTCTATATATATATATATATACATTGATTTGATTTGATTTTGAATAGAATATTGATACATACATATCATATCTTATATATATATTATATATATAATATATATATATATATATATATATATATTATATATACTATATATATATATATATATATATATATATATAGATATATAGATATACGTATGTATGTATGTATGTATATATATATGTTTGTAAGAAAATTACTGCTTGGGGAAAACCCAGAATGCCGGCAAAAAAAAAAAAATGCCAGCAAAAAAAAAGATACAAATTACACCTCCCTCTTCTCTCAGCTCATCACTAGAATATTGATAAACCCTTATAATGAGTTTATATTATCTATTTATGAAGTAAATTATTCAAAATATACAGACATTTTTAATCAAGCTGGCTGATCTCCTGGTGTTGCCAGACTATCAGCAACTAACTTGATTTGTTGAGTGAAGGCTGCCCAGCACTGTATGGTATTAGGGTCCCACCTACGGTGTATCTGCCACTGCTGGAGATGTGAGTCCCCCCCCATGTGCAGACCTGAGGCAAGCCACTGTAAAGTCCTTGGTTGATCCACTGAGATACAAGGCTGTCTTTGATGTGAGGCACCATGTTTGGAGCAGCTCCGGGTGTATTTGTGGTGGTGGAATCAGCCCTTCTTTCATTTCCTCTGGGGAGTTTTGGATCTTGGTTTCCTCCTTTAACAGTTCTCAACCACATATACAATACGAATTTCTAATTCTAGCTGTGACATATAGAACGTTTGAAATTATTAAAGTGTGATCTCAGTTATAAAACCTGTTTGTTGACTACTTGCTTTTATTATTAAGCTAAAAGCTACAGCTGACAAGAATAGACTTGCATTATATGAACTGACTGTCCTAAACTGGCACTTTAATCATATAAAGACAAAATATGTGCATCCCATTTGAATTGCACCCCTGCATTGACTATAATTTCCAGTCCATCAGGTTAGATTAGATTAGAATCAGGTATTCCAGAGTATAGGTAGCAGTGATTAAAACCAAACAGACAGTGATGGGAAGAACCTGTATTGTTTAGCTCTGATATTTGCATCTGCTCTTCTCTCTGCAGTTTTGATTCTGCTTGCACAAAGGAAGTAATCTTTACAATCCTTATAAAGTAATCTTTTACACTTGTTTCTGGGCAAGAATATTCCAGATTTTATTTTATTTTTCACAAACACAGTATAGCTAATAAGTTGCAAACAAAAACACTAGCAGTCTGTTAATACTTTACATGTATACTGAAATTAAACACTTTCATAAACTTTAGTGGCACTTATTAATAATAAATAGCTAGATGGTCTTGTAGTTCCCCAAATGAAAGTGAAAGTTCAGAGAGTGGAACTTCTTTAGTAGTTCTCAGTAAATATTTAGTCATTTTACTCTGTTAGGAGTCTTCCTAGGGGTGGGATGGGTCAGTAGGTTTGAGGGTTTGCTCCATGATCACAAGGTCGGGGGTTTGAATCCACCGAACAGTTATCCTGAGGTACCCTTAAGGAATGTACCCTTTTATACACACTGCTCCCCGGGTGCTGGATTAGTAGATCGCTATTGCTTCACTGAGTGAATGGGATACATGCAGAGGCCTATAAGGGGATTAAAATTTTAAAAATGATCATTAAATTGAGAAAAGTTTTCCATTTGAGATATCTCCTTTCCAACTATGAACCTTCACAGAATGGCAGGGTCTGTGAAACGTAGTGTTACAGACAAACATAGCTGTAGATGATCAGTGTCTTTATGTGATAAAAAAGCAGTGGGCTAAAGGGTAAATTGAGATGAGAGTAAATGGTGCTACGGAGAATATAATGTCGAATGAGTCAGTTAATATGTATAATGGCCCGTCATTAAAATGCAGTAATTAGCTTTTAGAGGCAGCCCTAAGAATTCACCAGCATGTGCTGTTTAAAGTCTCCTATTGAAATAGTTGTGTTTAAGCACTCAAAGAAGTGCTGAGCAGATTAGAATTTTTGGCATGACTGTTGCCCTTGTGAGGAACTAATGACTAAACGCACCTTGTTATAAACACAATTAAATTTGACTTCACTTCCGTCTCCCACAGTGAGTGAAATTATGCAAAAAGACACAAATAGCACTTTGTTTTTATGCTTCTGTGCTGTGCTCATATGGGGGCTGTAGACTTTGAAAGGAGAAGAGCAGTGAGAATCAGCATCTCTGCCATTTTTCTTTAATTATTTTGCTCAGGAAGCCTGTGCAGGCTTTAATGTTTCTTTTCACTAATTGCTGGAATGCCAATTTTATGAGGAGATGTGTGCTTTTCTCTCTCCGTCTCTCTGTCTCTCTGCCTACTTTGTTATTAGCAGCAGAGTAAATGTGTGATAGGGTAATTAGCCTAATGAGTTGTGGCATTTACAATAAAGATCCTTCTGGATTCTCTGCATCTTATTAAAAAGCGGGTGAGTCTTTTGTTTTTTAGGTTACGAATGTAGAATTTGCGGCTGAGATGGAAACACGGGCTTAATTGAAAGAGACATCATAATAGTCGTTTCTGTTTTCAACAGAAATGTCCTTGTAATTCTCAGAACCAGCCCGGGTAGAAGAGATGTGTTTACCAATGCGCTCTTTTAAGGTGACACTTTTATGCTTGACTTAACAGCTCACTTACTTTACATGAAGAGAACTTGGAGTAGAGAATCAATGATAAACAACAGGGTGAATGTGCTTTTCAAAAGTGCTCACAGGCTGTATCATACATCTGCTGTATACATTAAATGGAAGCATATGCTACATTTAGTTGCTTACACGTTACTTCATAAATCTCTAAAATCAAATAAACACATTTTTGTCTTACGAGAAGTAGTCATTGTCATTTTATACGTTTCAAAAAATCTGAGAAAAATAGAAATAAAATTCCTTCTTGTCTTTGACAGCCGTACAAATGCAGAACTGTATGTGGTGCACATTACCACTGACATGCCTCCATAGTGGATCTTTGCTGAAAGCGCTTCTCATGCTGGTCCTGGCCCCTGTATTTTGAATTGATGGGGTTTCTTTGTGTTTCTGGAAAGGTTAGCAGTTAGCCATGCTGCTAGTTCCTTAATTCACAAAGCTAAAGCGAGTTATTCAGCCTCTATATGCAGTTGTTGACAACATTACAACATGACAATATACACAGGAGGAGATTACTTTTAATTTGATACATCCTAGGATTGACACATTTTGTTATAGCCTCCATGTTTGTGTGAGTCTCTAATGCACCATAAAGTCTATTTATCCTCACTGCCACAATGCATCAATGCGTTCTCCACCACTGTGCTGCTATTCCAGCAACCCAAAGTCTCTCACCATTTGATGGGCTTAAAACAGGCCGTGCTTTTTTCCATTTACCGGGTCAGCATGTGTTGGTGTTCAGCTGCTTCTGAATGCAAGAAACTGTGTCATAGCTCAAGTGGCTTTATTGGCTGTTTCTTTAAGATACTCATTTTTATGAGTATCCTTCCGCTTGACTTTAGTTGAGAATGAAAGTCCAAATTTTACCTTTTTTAAATTTCTTACTTGGACAACTTAGTGATCCATGTTATCTTTTGTTAGCACGAGTGGCCTACAGCAAACACAGAATGGGACATAATTTACACTTCACAGCTGCTAACCCACACTCTGTGCAAAGACAACATTCATTCAGTCAGCCTCAATTTTTATCTTTATTTCTTTATTGAAAATAACAGTACCTTTTTACAGAATGTAGGCGAAGTCACGTATTTTGTCAGCTTTTTTAAAAAGCGCACATATATATATATATATATATGTATATATGTATATGTGTGTGTGCGTGTGTGTGTGTGTGTATTGCCAAAAGCGCAAGTAAAGAACATCTGCCAATGCAGGATAATCAGAAAGGATGTACATACACACAGGAATACAAAGTGAAATGAAAGGTAGACTGTTTAAATACAGATGACATATTGGTTGAAGGGTTTCAAGACCAGACATAAGAATAAAAGGCAATATTGAGAAGTACAGAAAAGGAGACTGGATTTTTTCAGATAATGCCGCAGGTTCTTTGTGTGTATGTGTGTGAATGTGTGACACACTCCTTTCTCTAACACAGGGTGTGCTTCAGACATGTAGCCTGGGGAAATGGGGCCTTGTTGGGAGCACACACAGCAGGGCTCACCACAAACTGGCTTCTAATATACAGGGGTACAGCAGGCCTGATTAGACTGGCAAACAGTGGGGAGCAGAGAGAGAGAGGAGGACCTCTGTCTCTTCCTCTCTCTCCCCAACTCACACGCATCCCCACGCAAAAACACACAACGGTACCTTCAAACCCCACCCCGTCATCTTTCTGTACCCACTTGGTGGCCTAACAGATTATTGCAAATGCAGGTAAACATAACTCGTTCCTTAGATGACTACGCTGCTTTGATTTGTGCTTGTTTTCATGCGCTGCTCTTCATCTGCAGGTTTAATGTTTTTGATAGGCTGTAGACAA